ATTGTAACTGATGACAGCGGTAGGTTTAGTTATTGGCTCGGAGGAATGCAAGAGAAGATTAGTTAGCTTATAGTAAAAGATAAGGTTTAGCTTAAGGCGTCTTTTCCAGAGGGGTTCTAATCTTAGTCTTACGCATCGCTCATGGTATTCCAGACCACTTTCTAAACCAAGAGTTCTTGAGGTAAACTGCCGTTGCACTCCCTCTAATTTAAGCTTGTCATTTTGTCTTAGTCCGCTAAGAATAAACGGGCAGTATTCTAAGATAGGTCGGACACATACTTTGTATAATAAAACCCTAGTTTCACAACAAAAGAAATTGCGTGTTATGCATCCTATCAGCCTTCGCGTTTTACGTCTGGCATAATCAGTCTGTTCAGCGAACGTTAGGTTACTAGAGTATCTAATACCGAGATCTACGACTGAGTTGAGCTTAGCTAGTTTTCGCCCATTTATTTCAAGAGTTAGATCAAGGTTACTGTTGCCGATACAAATCCAGCCGCATTTGTCAATGTTAAAATTTAGACAGGATTCAGCACACCATGTTGCAAGGCTACTTAGTTCAAGATGTATTTTAGTAACCATATCGCTTAATTCATGAGTGTAGCAGGAGTAGACGACTTTGAGGTCGTCAGCATATAGGAATGGTTTGCCTAAGGTGAAGCACTTGCAAATGCTGTTAATGTAGACTGTGAATAAAAGTGGACCTAGGACACTACCTTGCACGACCCCACTTGAGATCTGCCTAGGATGAGACAATACAGATCCAACTTTGGTTATTTGTACCCTGTTGCTTAGAAATGATTTTAACCAGTTCAGTAATGGGTTGCGAATTCCACAAGAGTACAGCTTCTCAAAGAGAATACTGTGAGATACCATGTCAAATGCCCTAGATATATCGAAGTAGAGAACAACGACTAGCTTACGTGCTTCGCGACTACTAGTGATGCAGTTGAAAAAGTCGAAGTGGCAAGTAACGCAGGATCTATTTTTGAGAAATCCGTGTTGAGACCTTGTAACAAGATCTTCCCTAATTAGGTAGTCTGACAATTGATCTTTTACAACTTTCTCCATGATTCGTGAGATAACTGGGGTTATATTTATGGGTCTGTAATTGCGGACGTTTGCCCTATCACCAGATTTGTAATGTGGAATTATGAAGCTAGTTTTCCACTCACTAGGGTAAGTGCCAGTGTCCATAGATATTGAGAAGAATTTAAGAAGTAACAGGGTATATCACACCCACTGTTTTTGAAAATTATCGAAGCGAGGCCATCCGGTCCCGTACTAGTGGAAGGTTTAAGGCTTTTAATTGCTTGTACTATTAACTGATTAGTGAACACAATGCTTTCAAGGGAAGAGATAGTAAGGGGAGCGGTTTCACCAGGCATATGTGTTTCTAAACTAAAGTTTGCAAACCAATCACTGAAAGTTCACAGATAGTGGCAGGTTCATTGTAGATTACTTTGTCGTGAAGTAAGTATGGGATTTCCCTCGCCGACTGCATTCGTTTTTTAAGAAGTGCCGTTAAGTTATAAACTTTGGAGGTACTTTCAAGTGCCGTTAACTCTTCGTCGAGGTCCTTTTGAGAGCGTAGGCGCTTGATAGATTCAAGAGACTCGTGGATTGAGAGCAATAGTGATATGTCCTTAGTGGAATAGTACTGTTTCTTCAGTTTCCTTAACTTATTACGGTGTGCCCTTGGAATATATTCAGTTCGGTGTCTACTTAATTTCACTATTTTCTTTGGAGCAACTGTATCTAGACAAAGGGTAACATTCCTGTAAAACAGGGTTACTAAGGCCTCCAGGGAGTCAGTGGTAAAATAGTCATCCCATTGACAGAGTCGAATAAGTTCTTGGACTAATCCCCAGTCTGTATATTTGTAACTACGACATATTGTGCTTCCTGAGTCTTGTTTGTTTCCTGTATTTAGTGGTGAGAAAGGCAGAGAGCAGAGTACCATTCTATGGTCACTACTGGAAAATCGATTACCAACATAGTGGATACTGGGATTGTGTCATGACAAAAAACAAGGTCCAACATGTTGTCACCACGAGTAGGTGTCTGGACGTGTTGTTGCCATCCATAACAGTCTATAGTGGCAAGTAATTCGTCGAAGCGTTGGGGGCCGGAACTAGTTAGCCAATTGACTTCTGGAAGATTGAAGTCCCCTGCAATTATTTTGTAATTAGCACTAAACGAGGATGCGTGTGCAAACGATTTAGCTAATAACGCATCAGTTTCTTTTGTTGAGCTTGGTGCTCGATAAACACAGCCTATGAGAAGTTTGTACTTATCTCCATGTAAGACAACCCAGAGTGAGTCAGGTACATTATTCATTGTTTCATCTTCCACCTTACTGACTACAAATGAGTTATGTATATATATGAGACATCCTCCACCACGCTTGCAATCTCTGTTTGCACGGTGTACAGTGTAATCATCGATACCTATATGCACATCAAGTACAGAGGATGAGCACCATGACTCAGTAATCAGAGCTACAGTAGGCTTGGCGACTAATAATAATGTCCTTAGTTCAGATATCTTATTGATTAAGGAACGTGCATTAATTAGCAATATCGTGAATAAGTCACGGGATACTACAAACTGGCTTAAAATGTCACCATAACCTAAATCTATTTGTGCGTCAGCACCGCAAGAATTTATGAATGAAAAGGAGGTCGGACTGGGTGTCTGCACATCGGAGTTGGTGTGCAATGAGGTGGTCCTAGGTGCCATGGGTCGTACCAGTGATTCGGGACACCTGGAAAATTTACCATGTGTTCCTGGATATAAGGGTAGTACAGGTTGGGCCTAGGTTGACGGTTAAAAGGCATAGCATCAAAGGTCTACCCATCCAACTGCTATTCGTCATACCGGTATACACCTTCGGGTTGTTTTTATAACTTAAAGGGAATTGTGAAGGAAGGTGCTTTGGCTGCAAGACTTTAGGAGTCTTGGAGCCTGACTTTCTATAAGGTGGAGCATGCGGAACACCTCCAGATATACTTATGTTTCGAGAGGAGTTTTTCGTAACAAGTGATGGTTTGTTGGCATTCTTACTCTCAGCAGGCTTATTGAATACAAAGTATTCTTCCCCATCATTAGTCTCAACCCTGCGAAATTTGTTCATCGTGGTGAGGTTACTACGTTTGGGGGGAAATTTCTTAGAACAACTTGCAGAAGTTCTAGTCATTTTAACATCTTTCGATGAGGCTTTGTTTACAGGGGTACTGGTATCTAAATCAGTTCCTAGTTCCATTGGCAGGTGTGGTTGTTGTGTAGTTTGCTGAATGCTAGTTTCAGCACTAGGTGTCTGTTGCTGTGCACGATCCTTATTTGGTAAATCAAAGCTAGAGGAGGTGACCAGGTTATTACTACGCATTATTCTGCGCTGACACGGTGTTTTATCCTGAGCTACGGTTATAGACTTATAACTGCTATTCAGTCTTAAGTGATCCTGACATTTAGTAAACTTACTAGCATCAAGGGAATTACTGAATTTAAAAATGATTGGGCAATTAGCCTGGTTAGACTTTTTACGAAGTCGTTTGCATTCACATGGAACACTAGCCATGCCGCAACAAATCAGGATTTTGTGTCTTACAGTTTTCAGGGGCAGAGAATCTGGGACGTTGTAAACTATAGCTTGGTGAGAAGAGGTTATACGCTTCATCACCTCCGTAGCCAAGCAGTCAATCAGATTTTCAGCTTTATTTAGGTTGTCTGGAGATATTTTAGGATGCCTTTCTAAAAGACAGGCTATTGGGTCTAAATTCAAAAGCTTATTTTGAGTTACATCCAGTAAACACTTAACCTGGCCAATATCAGAACGGCTCTCCGTGGTATTTGAGATTGGCAGTGACATACTATCAAACTGATCTAATTTTTTCTGAATTTCACTTACTTGCCTCTGCATATCTTTCAAAAGGAGGTTTAGTTTACAGAACTCAGAGTTCTCTAACAGAACATCTTTCACCTGTATCACAGGAGTGAGATCTGCACTCAAACCATTTTGAGAGCTAGTAGTTGATACTGTATTACCAGGCGGTAATGCAGTTATAACCGAATTTAAGCCACTATCTAAAACAATTGTGTTTCTACGAACACGTTTTTTAGAGATTTGGACCATAATTTCAAGAATTATATGACAATAAGCAGTAAATAAATTTCAGAGCAAACACGTGCAAAAATGTCACCAATTTCCAACGTACAGCTAAAAAATGTCATTACCAAAGAATGAGAAAGGAGAATGAACCATTTTCAGCAAAGGTAGGCAGATATAAATCGTTTACCTTTAATATTACTTCTTCCTTACTTCAGCTATTTAAAAAACACTTTGTTTACTTATTTGTAGATATCCGGTAACGTCAGTCACCGCAGTCACAGAGATTCGACATTGCACAAATTATTACGACAAACGACTGCGTAAAGACATTTGCTTGTTATTATTTTTTCATTAAATACATTTAATATCCTGCTTACCAGACCTTTCTTATTATATCTGAGTGTAGATATATTTGTCATGATGACTAGGTGCAGACATGACTTATTAATAAGAACTGACGAAGTAATTGGTGGCATATTTTAGTGTAAGCTAAATCTAAATACGATTGCTAAAGCTCAACGAATTCAATATTTCGTCTGGTGTAGACTTTAACTTACGCTACATGTCAACAGCCTTAGTCATATGGATTGACATCACGCTTTAAGTGAAACATTAGTAATGCAATACTTCCGAATACACGTAACCGTATAAGAACTGGAACTCGAATGCAGTGCCTAAGTTATGCCTGCTATTGTCCCTAAAGACTTGTATATGACTATGATACGTATGCACGTTAGCTAACTAAAATACTTATAATTTAACACGTATGCTGACCGACATCGTTCCTACACAATTACACTTACGTATTGTTAGTAGTGAAAGTCCTAGAGAGCACCGGTCTAGCATGCCGTGCTCACAAAGTGAACACATGAATTGAAAGACAACAAAATTTACATGAAAATTTTATTTTCATTATGATACAAATTTAGTTTATTTACATATTAAGAACACGATTGATTCCTGCGATTACTCCGTCTGCATAAGTATTGGCAAACACTTCTCCAAATTTGTCATTAATTCTGTCCATACCCGCAATGATAATCCTCTTTTTGGTATCGTATATGTCACTTCGATTTCGAGGGATAACTGCTGACGTACTTTGAGATGCGAACAAGTTGCGTGACCACGTCCATTGTTTACAATTATGCATCACATGGTTAACTACAAAAGGTGGAACAAAAAACGTTAAGATAACTATGAACTGATTATTACATTACATTATACATTAAAAACGGAGTCATAAAAACGCAAATATACCTGTGAAATACGGCTTCTCCTTAACATGCATTATTTCATCGGATGAGTGGGATTGCTGAAGAAGTGGTTCAATATTTTCTTTCTCTTCAACTGTTAGTCGTCTATACCATGGGTCATTCTGCATGTACACCCTGCTGCATGGATGGTTATGCACCATATTGTGGGAAGCAATTATGTATTCACTATGATGCAAAACCACGCGAAATGAAGACGAGCAATTGCAACATTTAGACCTGAAATATTCATGAAATCATATTACACTTCTTCTTACGACTTGTTTTTCAATTTCAATCCAGTTCTTGTACTATTCACTCCAAAAGTGCATTTAAAACCAACATAAGCGTACTTAAACCTGTCATCCGATATCGTTTTGCTGCAATTATGAACATAGTGAGTGTAGGATAACTACACTGTTAGCATTAAATGACTTCCTCACTTTTTGAAAATCTGCTAATGACTTCTCAAATTCATCCCAGCTGAAGAAACGCTTTCCAAGTATGTATTCAGCAAAAATTCCACTTAAATCTGTGCTCCTGTCACTCGAATTGACTACCTGCAACGGACTAAAATAAAATTATCAATTAGGATCCATCTATGTCACAACTATTCCAAGATAAATCGTAAAAAAACAACATTGAAATACAGGGATGATCGATAACCATCAAGAAAATACCGCACGTATAACCTAAATTACAGAAAAACACAAGAACCCACCGGTTCGTTGACATCGCAAGCAACCAATAGGCCAAACAACGAATTGTGCGACAAATAAAGCCTAGTACATGCACAAACAAAGAAAAACAAAGCGTTACAAGAGTCTAATACACGTTTACAGTAATCACATATGCTGGCAAACGACGCAAACACAACCACGCAAATACAGCACCCGACAGCACGCACCCAAGGACAATTCAAACTCCAATTGACCGCCACCATTCTAGCCAATGAAAGACGAAAAAAATTAGTCGCGGAAAATATAACACGAACCCACGTATATCCTCATCCAGGTAAGAAACAGAAGACACGGTTGATTCGGCACTATACTCACAGTTTAATGATAGATTCTTATGCAGTTATAAAGTGCGGTAACACTTTAGTCGGTTGTTTAACTGGGTTATAAATACCACTTAAGCGAAGTTATTTTTAATTTTCCTCTTTGAATTTTCTTGTTAACGATAACAATAAAACTCTCCTGAGATAAGCGTCGTGTGGTAGCAAGCTGAGACTGTCCGCCTATATAATTTAATCATTATGCCAGCCAGCATGATTGAATGTGTGGTCGTAGAGTTATACTTCGTTGCAACTGATAAAACATTAGTATTATAGTTGGGATAGTGTTGTTGAATGCGCTCATATTCAGACTTTTGTTGATAAAAGAAGGTTTTAAGTCTTTGTTAGCACTTTTAGAATAAGTATCTATGCTTATCTGATCTCTTTATTGAACAAGTCGATTGAGGGTACTGACAGCACTTCTTCCCGGATGTTTTTTGTAATATTCTGTCTGAGTGGGACGACCAGTGATTGATAACTATGTTTTCTCCTTGGCTTTTGAATTATCTTGCCTTGTAATGCAAGATTTTTTGATAACTTGGGAAGAAAAAAAGGTAGATGTTGTATATAGTCGTTTCTTGTGATTTCGGATATCAGATCTCCACTTGTGGTGTAATAAGGAGAAGGGATTCAGACTACCAAGTCTTTCCACGAATGGTAAATTAGCCTTATCAGTAGTTTTACGAGTGGTGTTCCTGTGAAATATTTCTAGATTATGTGTGTCCTTCTCAAGACGGAGGCTGACTGTATGGATGGAGTTTTGTAGTTTCGACGTCGTCAGAGATGTATATAAGGCGATGAACATTGTTATATTGATTTTAGTAAGGGCTCTGCGTATTTCTCATGCGGATCTAAAGTATTGAGCTCCGGTAGTATGCCATATTGCTATAGGTTATTACTTACTATGGCACTTAGATCCATGTTCGTTTTAATTGATTGGAGTTATGTTGTCTGTCATATGGGCTGTCACCCGATGCGCGTGGTTGTGCGCTTTGATTCTTTTATCAGGTACATTCATTCATTAGACCAATATAACATTTTTTAAGATGTCGCAACTTCAGGAAGTAGCTATCATATATGTCTAAACTGAGTTCACTTTTAACAGTTTGAAAAAAATGTGGGCATTGGAGATTTTGTAAATTCCGGTTTAATAATACTTTGATAAAGCTAGCAGTAAATAGCGAAATGTCAGTGAAAACAATATCGTTTTGTTTTTCATTGATACCAAAACCTTTATTATAAGTCGCTATCATCTCTAAGCTCTCCGCATTTTTAGGTCATATGCATAAGTTTAAGATGCTATCGAATCTGTTAGAATTCGGATGTAGGAACTCAGTCACTATATTATTCAACTTTCGTTTAAAAATGTAAGTTGGTACTAAGCTTTCTTGGGTATTCTTCTTATTCTAGGAATTTAGATAATGGTCAGAAGGAATTTAGGTTTGTATTTATTGAAAGTTGCCAATAAGAGTAAGTATCCTGTCTTCAGATAGTCCCGGCCGATAACTGCTACCTTGTCGTGGTGGTCGGGCTTGAATACCGCAATGACCCAACAAGCTGAACTAACTGGGACTCTGTCTCTTCAGGTCCTACCATGTCAGGAAGGTTTTCTGGATAGCGGTTAAACTAAAAGCAGTTACCATGGGGTACATGGGCTCCAGTTTCCAATCGTATCAAATGGCGTATGAACCCACATGGGTCACCGGCAACTATGGGAATGCAGCTCCTGACGCTGCTCCGCTGCCTTGCGGATTAGACTCCAAGTCAAAGGCTCGGGGGTGGTCCCTTAATAAAACCACCTGCTTCGGTCCGGGCGCCCGGGCAGTATCTCAGCCCGCACACAATGAATGAATTAAAGCAACGAACTCCCATTGAAACTCAACGCGCGCTAGCAAAATGATTCCAAGCAATACTGATCCCTCAAGGAACTTATTTCCCTCCTACCCTACTTTTATTTTTATACATAGTTTCCTGTATTGTACCTTTTCTAACCTTGGCTTCTTAACCTTCGACAGCCTTTCGCCTTTGTCGAGATTCCCAGCCTATCCGTGTCGTTTCGAGATGTTAGTGAGTAGTCCTCAAAATGGTTGTTCCCAATGTGACATCTAACACGGATATCCTGAAACCGCGTGCTGCGTTCAAGCTGGCTACCTACAATGTTCGGACGCTGATGCAAATCGGACAACAGGCAGGGTTGGCAAGAACTTTGGAAAGCCTCGCTATCGATGTCTGCTGCATTTCGGAGACCCGCATTCAAGATCCCAGTGAAGTGCTTCGACTATCCTCTCCATCTGGAAGTTCTAGTAGTATGTACCACCTGCGCTTATCCGGGGACCCTGTGGCGTCGGCATCCGGCGTAGCTGGTGTCGGTGTCGCACTGAGCGCTAGAGCCGAAGCTGCACTGCTCGACTGGATTCCCATTAACAGTCGTTTATGTGCTGTGAGGCTGGAAGGTTATACGAAAGTAAAGAGTAGTAGGCCAGATAGGCGGTGTCTATTTGTTGTCTCTGCCTATGCACCGACGGATTGCAGCCCGGATGCAATGAAGGATGAGTTTTACTACCAACTGAGCGATCTCTTGAAACAGGCGGGTCGGAGGGATATCGTAGTGCTGGCTGGGGACTTGAATGCACAGGTGGGGCGTCTAAGCTCAGAGGAGAATCGTCTAGGTGGTCAGTGGGGACTACATGGTCGCAGGTCAGATAATGGGGACCGTCTTCTGCAGCTTTGCGCGGATCACAACCTATTTCTAGCTAGCACCAACTTCCGGCACAGCCATCGCCGTAGCGCTACCTGGCGTCCTCCCTCTGCGAAGCAAGCTTGGACTCAGATTGATCATATCGCGGTCAGTTTCCGGTGGCGAGGATGCATACAAGACTGTCGCTCCTTCTGGAGCACATGCCTGGACTCCGATCATGCGTTAGTGTGTGCCAAGTTCGTCTTGCGATTTGGTGGGGTTCGTAAAAGCCGTCGTCTAAGCGTTGATGTGAGCAAACTAGTAGCACCTGCTACTTCTTTGAAATATCAGAATGAGTTAAAAACAATGCTTGCCAGCAACCCCCCAAGTAGTATAGATGAACATTGGCTTCATGTGCAAGGTGCCATGCAAAAGGCGAGTGTAGCCGCTTGCGGCTTGAAAGAATGCTCCGCTAACAACCACTGGGTTTCTGCGAGTTCCTTGCAACTCCTGGATGAACGCCGGTCCATTCCGGCTGGCAGCGAATACAACAATCAGCGAAAGGCGCTCACGCGCAAGATTAGACAGTGTTTACGTAAGGACCGCGAAGCCTGGTGGTCAGAACGTGCGTGTGAGATGGAGTCAGCTGCTGCATCTGGCAACAGTCGGAAGCTGTTCCAACTCATACGAGCCACCGGCAGCAAGAAACAAGGTGTCAGCGAGACGGTCTGTGAGGCAGATGGCACTCCAATTACCAGCCTGAAAAGACGCCTGGAACGCTGGGCAGAGCACTTCGGGAAGCAGTTTAGCTGGCCACCAGCTTCAGTGTCTACTATCATTAGCCCGAGTGCTCCTTGGTCGGTTAGTACCGACCCACCCACCGAAGCGGAGGTCCGTAAGGAACTCCAAGTTTTGAAACGCCATAAGGCGCCCGGCCCAGACAAATTACCCCCGGCTCTTTTTAAAGATGGTGGCGAGACTCTCACAATGGCTCTAACTGGGTTGTTCAGGAAGGTGTGGGAGACAGAGAGTGTACCATCAATGTGGAACGAAGCCATTATCGTCCCCATCTTTAAAAAGGGTCGACGTAATTCGTGTGACAATCATAGGGGTATCAGTCTACTACCAGTCGCGTCTAAAATATTGGCTGCTGTCTTGCTTCGCAGACTGTGCAAAATACGTGAAGGATTGATTCGCGAAGAGCAGGCTGGGTTTCGTTCAGGTCGTGGATGCATTGATCATGTGTTCACCCTTCGTCAGTTGTTGGAACACCGCCACACGTATTGCAGGCCAACGATCGTTGTGTTTCTTGATATTAGGGCTGCCTTCGATTCGTTGGACAGAACTGTGCTCTGGAACTGTCTGTTAGAGAGAGGTGTACCTGAGAAATTTGTTAACATCCTGAAAGCCCTATACAGAAACACCTCAGGTAGAGTGAGGGCATACAACCAACTATCACCACTGTTCCCAACCAACAGTGGGGTTAGACAGGGTTGCCCAATCTCTCCATTTCTCTTTAACTTTGCCATCGATGACATTCTGGAGTCAGCTCTGAAGGATGTGCGTGAAGGTGGTGTAGATCTGCTACCTGGAGATAGACTTTTCGACCTCGAGTATGCAGACGATATCGTCTTACTGTGCGATAGCATGCAGGCTGCCCAAATCGCACTTAATCAGTTGGCGATCAGTGTCTGTAAGTATGGTATGTGCTTTGCGCCGTCTAAGTGCAAAGTACTGTTACAAGATTGGCAGGAGCCTGTACCTGCACTCACTCTTGCGGGTGAACCGCTTGAAGTTGTTGATAAGTTTGTGTACCTGGGTAGTTGTGTGAGTGCTGGCGGAGGGGTGACGGATGAGATTTCCAACCGTATAATGAAGGCTAGGGTGGCATACATCAACTTGAGCCACCTATGGCGCCGTCGCGACGTTAGCCTGGCTGTCAAAGGTCGGGTATACAATGCTTCGGTGCGGGCTGCGCTGCTCTACGCCTGTGAAACCTGGCCTCTCCGAGCTGAGGATGTGCGGCGACTCTGCGTGTTCGATCACCGCTGTCTCCGCAGGATTGCTTGCGTTCGATGGCATCATCGCGTGAGTAATTCTGAGGTTCGGCGGCGTGTGTTTGAACAAAGTGGAGATCACCATTCATTGAATGTCGTCATCTGGAAACACCGGCTCCGGTGGCTTGGACATGTGCTGCGAATGTCATCCCAGAGGCTTCCGTACAGGTCTCTGTTCGCTAGCCCTGGGACGGGATGGAAAAGGCGGAGAGGTGGTCAGTCCATGACGTGGCGTCGTGGGATGAAGGATTTTTGTGCTAGATTAGCATCGGTTGGTGTGTCACGACTCCCTGGTTGGGGTCCGAGAGATAGCTCAAATCGATGGCTCGAAACGTTATCGGATATGGCCAAGAATCGTAATCAGTGGCGAATGTGTTGCGATTTCCTTCTTTCTTCCCTTCCCGATGATAGCTAACGAACACTGTTTGAACTTGTTAAGCATGACTGTTTTCCTTCCAGATGAAGTTCTTTATCCGTTCTCTACTTATATATATTTTTTCTTTTCCTTCCTTTTTTTTGATCTATGTTGTTTTATTATTATTGTGTGGCGCATCTTTCTTGGTGCCATATTGTACAAAGTTTTTTATGCGTTTAAATAAAATAAAATAATACTTCAGATATTGGGTTCGTCACCATCGAGAACTAGTTACTAATGAGGTCTGTGTTCATTAGTGTAAAGTTAAAAGGTAACATGATTTATTTTTAATATTTTATTCTATCTCTCACTTATATACTTCACTGATTCAAAACAACTCTTGCCAGTACCATTGTATTAACCGGTATTATTATACTGTTACTATCCGGTTTGCAATTCCTGACTTTTCAAGTTCCTTCTCTGATAACTGATTGTTTATACAAGTGATGCACCTGAGCCGTAATGCATTATAGTCTTGATTTCATTCTTTCATACACCTTTGCCCTTATTTTTCTTAACTTGGTTCACTACGTTTTATTTACTTATCAGTCATTTTTTTCCTTCACGTTCCCAGTGGAACATAGGGCCTCAAGCTAGTGGCTTGAAGTTTCTGTAGCAGTGTTTATTTTTACAGGATGGGATTGCTAGCCTCAGGCCCAACCTTTCCTATTCACCAGAATTATTTCTGGCTTAGCGAGGTAAAGGAGTGCGTCAGTGGCAGAGGATCGAACCCCGGACCATGTGCATGGTCGGCGAGTGTCCTAACCGCTGTGCCATCGACGCACCATCAATCACACGTATCCCAATATATTTTGAATATATATATATATATATATATATATATATATATATATATATATATCAGTAACCAACTGAAGAGTCCTACGGAAATTTAGTAAATTCATTAAATACTTCGTTGATAACATTTTTTACATGTTTTCTCAGTTTATTATCATTTTCATAACTGGGTCTCTTACACAATACAACCGTTTCCATTTATTTTCCAGTTATTTGAGCGTCGAATTCTCTGCGAAATGACTGATCTAAGTGGATGTGTCTGTCTTGTCACGGGAGCTACTCGGGGTATTGGGAAGGGTGTGGCGGTAGCTTTGGGAAAGTGTGGGGCTACAGTGTATATTACTGGTCGAACATTAAGGACCCCCAATGACGGTGTCGGGGGTAGTTTACAAGAAACTACGGATGATATCAATAAATATGGTGGTGTATGTGATAACTTCTTATGCATGTTTAAATTATTGTTACTCAGCAGTTTGGTAATAGGGTGACGTAGGAATTACGTAGTGAACGATTGTTACTTGATGTCATAGTATCTCAGTATATATGGTTGTTTTAATTATGAAAAGTATAACCATAAATAGCTTGGAACACAGTGAAAGTGCAGAAGCAAAATCATCTAATTCTCTGCATTTATCTAAAGATTTCAGAAGTGATATTTTGTTTGTAGTCTTTTGAAATAATATGACGTGGCACTACAAGTGAATATATTCAGTAATTACACTGAATTATAAAATAGATTTTTCTAACCAAAGGTGTTTCAACCCCAGCTTTGGTATAAGTGTGCTCAGGTGAGACGTTCATATGCGATCTAAGTGTGGTTATTCATTTGAAGTTAATTTTCATTCGTATTGAATTGATGTCAAGGGATTCGATACCCAGTCCAGAAGGATCTCTCAGTGTAAAGACAACATGAACTTTATTGGGTGAGGAAAGCAAAATATGAGTGGAATGTATGCAAGTTCCAACAGGTATCAGACTTTTATCAACAGCTGCCTTCGTTCCATACTGAAGATCCAGTGGTCAGAAAGAATAAGCAACAAGAAACTGTGGGGACAAACCTACCAAGAGCCGATCGCTCAACAAATATGTCGGAGGAAATGGAGATGGATCGGGCATACATTGAAGAGGCCGCCGAATAAAATCTCACGCCAGGCCCCCGAGTGGAATCCCGTTGGGAATCGACGAGTGGGTCGTTGCATCGAGTGTGACATGGAGGAAATCGTTAGAGGAAGAAATGAGAGAGTTTGGGCAATTGTGGACTTAGGTGAAGAGGATGACAAAAAACAGAATAAAGTGGAGATGTGTTGTTGAAGCCCTATGTTCCACTCGGAACGCAAAGAAATAATAATAATTGCGAGTTCGGCAATATTCATTAATCACTACAACCTAGAAAGATGAGGTCCTGTTAATGTTCTGTGATTATTCTTATATTATTCTTATTATTCCCTTGGGTTCAGAGTGAACATAGGGCTTCAGCAGCACATCTCCGTTTCGCTGTTCTTTGCAGTCTGCAACATGTTGGAAATCCATTAATGGTGTGCCAGGTCTTTGAATCATATAAAAACACTGAATTTTTGTAGGAGATCTGAGTCTTGTTCCTCGTGTTGAGTGCAGTAGATTTCCACACACTGGTTTCAGAGTAATGAAGGTCCGTCTGGCTTTTCCAATCTTGCGTTTGATATCTTATTCTGTGCTGCCTGTAATCGAAATTACGACGCCTAATTGAGTGAAAGAGGTGACTTCCTTTAAAATTCCTCCCACTGATGGTGATTGATGCGTGTTGTTGGTAAGGTATCTTTATCACCTCCACTTTCTCTAAGTTCACTTAAAGTCGTGTCTTCCCTGCCTCTTCTGATATCAACCGATCATATCTACTTGTAGATCTTCAAGTTTGTGTATGAGGGTGACATTAAACATAAATCGTCGACGAATTCCTGATCTTCCACTGTCCTCTCGTCGGTCCAACATACACTTGTCTTCTCGCCCTCTACGGTTTGTTGCATGATCCGAACCATGACCAGAACCACACATATCATCGATGATATTAAGCAGCCTTGTCTTACTTCTGTATTCACTTCAAATGCTTCCAGTTGTAGTTATGACTTTTTGATTTATCTACAAAATTATTTTTGGAAGATGATGGACCCACAATGTTTATTCATTTGTGTCAGCGGAAAAGTAATACAGCTACAGTTATCACCATACTTAAGTATTCGATCTAATAAACCACCTACTTTTGTACTTTGGATTGTGAGTCTCACTATACCTTTTTTGCTATTTAAGTCCGTAATATCGTATTTATATAGCGTTTTTATACTGTTTAAGTTCTGCCTTGTAAAATGATAGCTGTTTTTATTTTTGTAGAAAGCTATTCCTGTTGTTGTGGATCACTCAAATGAAACCCAAGTGACAGACTTATTTAATCGAATTAGTCGAGAACAAAATGGACGTTTGGATATCTTAGTGAATAATGTTTATAGTGCTGTCTCGTTCATAAGTCAAAATATTAAGAAGCCATTTTATGACATCAAAAATGTATCTCCAGGGGAAGCTTGGGACATAGTAAATAACACTGGTTTAAAAAATCATTATGTTTGTTGTGTTTTGGCCACTCGAATGATGATTGAGCATCAAACAAAGTCAGATACAAATTCGCCTCGACCTGGATTGATTGTAAATATCACATCTTTTGGTGCTAAAACTTATCTCTTCAATGTGGCTTATGGGACAGGTGAGTCGTCTATCTATCTATCTCATAATTACTATCATGAACTCTGATCATTGTATTATTCGGATATTACCTAAGATATACAGCAGATCTCACTTTAATATCTTCTCAAATCTGTCCAAGAGAACACAGCAAAGGTGTTACTCACAAGAAAATATGCTCAAACTAAGATGTATGCTAAATGACACTAACTGGGAACTTTTCAACGAACACAAACTGGATGATACTATTTCCAATTTGACTGACTATCTTAAATTCTGTCTTGATATATGCTGTCCAAAACAGATAATTTTCAAAAGAATGGATCGTTTTTCTTCCCCTCATCTCAAAAAACTTCGTAGAGAAAAAGAGAAGCTGTACAAGACAAAGAATAAATCTGGTCTTAAGAAGATAAACACCCAAATTAAATCTGAAATCAAGAGACTAAACAACATTTATAATCAAACAATACTATCTTGTAAAACATCAGAAAACATATGGAAGCTTTTTAGAGAAATTACTGGTTGTGGTAAGCATAATAATTTTGCCTCTTCTATTGATGTAAATACTCTCAATCGATCTTTTGTCCGCCCTCCAAATGTCATTTCTGCCTTCAATTTAACTAATAACACGACCAGTGACTTTCATCGTTTCAATACATCTGATGTTCTTAAATGTTTGAAATCTCTTAAACCTTCCCAGAGTCTAGGCCCTGATGGTATACCTGCCATTGTCTTAAAGAAATGTGCTGATATTTTAAGTAACCCACTTACAAGCATTTTCAATACTTCTTTTTCTCATAATAATGTACCTTCTCTGTGGAAAGATATTAAAATCATCCCTGTACCCAAGTCTGGTTCTGGAGATAATGTTAAGTTTAGACCAATTGCCATTACCTCTCCTTTCTTGAAACTGATGGAGAAATTACTCTTACAAAAACTCATTCCCTCCCTAAGCTTCTCAAATGATCCAAAGCAGTTTGCTTACAAACAGGGTAGAAGTACTTTGGATGCTGCTGCAGTGTTTCATCACAACATTGTATCCTCCTTAGACAAAGGGGCCAAGTATGTCCGTTGTACTTTCCTTGATTACACATCTGCTTTTGACTCTGTACCTAGAGGCCTTTTGTTAAACAAGCTTAGCCTTACACAAACTGAGTCCTGGGCTATCAACTGGCTGCACTCTTACTTCTCCAATAGGATGCAGTACACGGTATATAATGGTGTAGCTTCCTCTCCTTTGCTCACTGAAGCTGGTGTTCCTCAGGGTGCTGTTCTCTCGCCGTTTCTCTTTTCCTTCTTCTTACATGACTTACCTCTCTCAGACGAAATCAACTTCGTCAAATATGCAGATGACCTGACTGTTTCGCTTCCCGTTAAGTCTCAGTCAGACTGCTTCAAATTAAATAGCTTCCTGTCGGACATCAGTCAGTGGTCTAAAATAAATGGCCTAACGCTGAATCCCTCAAAATGCCAGACTGTCGACTTCTCCTTTAGGCATAAACGAGATCTACAAACACTAGTAAGCACTCATGATGTCTGTAGAATCGAGGGGACTATAATTGAAACAAAGTCTAATGCAAAATACCTCGGATTAGTTATATCTTCCGACCTTACTTGGTCATCTCATATCCAAATGATTTCCAAGAAAGTGTTTCGTCTAACCTACTACATTAAGAAACTCAGACTAACTGGAGTCCCTCAACCTCTGCTTACACAATTTGTCAACTCTCGTATCCTACCTATTCTACTTTACTGTTCCCCGTTAGTCTTTCCTGGGTTACTGAAAAAGGATTATACCATCCTGAGAAGGATGTTGAAGGTAGTTAGCAGGACTAGCGGTGTAAAACTCAGTCAGCTCGTCACAACATTAGTGGATAAGCATCTGAATACATGTGAGAAATGGTCTAAAACCATACTCTCTGACCCCCAACACCCCCTCTATTCACAACTCTCTCCCTGCATCTCATCAGGTAGAACCAGAAATCAGTATAAAATAATATATGCTCGCACAACCAAGTACAGGAACTCAACGATACCATATTTGGCTCGTGTTCTAAGTGACAGGGACAATGTTAGACGTGAAACCTATGACTTGCTTTGTTGTTAATAACAGAATTTTGGCCCTTGTTTTTTTCCCCCTTACACTCTCTTATTTGTACTCTATAGTGAACAACCTTCTTAAACATACTTAACTGCTTAAAATTACTATCATTGGCTTACATTTTTATTCTTTATTCTACTCCTTCTTTGTACATCTACTGGGTCCGACTATATTATCACTATGATTATTAAAAATTGTCCCGTCATTAACCATCATGTAACATTAGTTTTGTGGTTGTTCTTTGTTCGGCACTATTTAACTGACAATCTTGTTTGTTATTGCCACTATCACCATCTTAAAAATTTTGTATTATGCATGATTCCTCACACTGCCACTACAAACAACCGCATTAGTACTGACAAAAAAAACCCTGAAATGTTTATCTTATGATTGCTTAGTGTTGTTCAATCAAATTAACTGATCATCTTGGCTATAAACATTTTTTTAAGAACATCTCATAATTTCCCGTATGATTATAGCTGTTACTGTTCACCACGCATACACATATCGTAGCTTCCACTAACTAATACTGAAATATTTTTTTTCATTATTTGTGTTCGTCTTCTTTTTTACTCAGTATTTTTATTTGCATTTTTTTTGGTTATTTCTGTTTCTTTTTTTTGGTTTTTATTATATTTTTTTTTTTATAATACTCCTTTTAAATGTACGATGAAATTAGATGCAATATTGTAGATATGTGCTGAAAATTCCACACTGTACCACAAGTACTGTTTCTGGAATAAAGCGAAATTGTTATGTTATGTTATTTTCTGTTATGGACAAACAGCATCATGTTCTTGTAGTATTTGGTGTCAACAGTGTGCCTGCCAAACGTTTCATAATTCTACTAAATAATTAACAATAGTGTCAATCGTTCTCCTAAGTTCTGAGGAAATTAATCTTTATCCTTATACTCAATCATGTTAGACAAGTCGAAGTTCTCAATTTTAGTTCATATATCCCTTTGAACTAACCGGAATTCAGTTGAGTTAAGTTTACTATACTCTTTTCTATGATTTTTGTACATCATCTATATAATGTGACAGACCTGTAAGAAGTTGTTCCAGTTAGAAAAGTATATTGGCGAAACCTATGGAGTTCTATGCCAACGAATCGAGAGCGGTGATGGTCTCGTGCAGTTAACAACAATAAAGCTTTATTTCAGACAGTATGTGAACATACATTACAGAAGTTTTCAGCGTATTTGGTTACAAAAATATTTCCTCTTCATACAGGATTTACATGTAAAGTAGTAGTCATCTGAAGTATATCATGTGACGCAGCTTCGTTGCATATGGAGAAAGAACCAATTCTGTACAGTTTCCTTTCACTTTGTTCAAGAATTACACTGTGTTTAGTGGGAAGCTAATTTATGTGCGCGAATTCATGTAGTGATCATTTGATATAATTGCACAATTAAAACAATAATAAATGCAGAAGAGTTTAAGCACTTCGATGAATAGAAATTCTGATAGCCCAGGGATTTAAGCAGGTCACCACGAGTTCAGATATTCATCTGGCCATTTCCGGTCAACTCTAACTTCAAACATAAGGAGAAGCATCTCTTAACCTGGCGACCACTATCACCGTATCAACAATGAACTCAAATACAATGCATAATGATAAGCTATCGATGGTGAAAGTCGGTAGGAGACTGTCCATCCTACCGGATTCCACGTGTAGATTCCCATCACAGTTTAGTCCGTGCATGTATATTGCCTACGATTGAATGGACATACAAAACAAGCAGCTATGAGGCCGCTACGCTCCAAACTTGATGATAGGAAGAAACAGCTAAATTCAATACCTATGATAAATTTCAATTATGCAAAAAGATCACATTCTCAATATGGTAGTGACATTATTTATATCACAGATTCTCACCAACCACAGACCTCCCAAAGTTGCAATGGTTATAATAGAGAATGAAATCAACACACTTCACTGTTGGAATGATAGTGTCCACACTCATCTGAGTGCCTGGGAAGTTTGTCAGAGTTTCGTGAGAAGGTGAATGAACATATACGAAGAGTTTCTCCAAATTAGTTTCTTTAAGGTTTAGTCTCATTTATCAGTTTTGCTTTTTAGACAAGCACTAGCTATGAAATGACTAGTAGTCGAACCAAAAACCTAGTGCCTGAACTTGTTATAGTTTTATTTGGATGACTCATGGATTATTCCACCCTCTAGGTTTACAGTAACCTACTAGAGACAATCCAATAGACAAGGGTGCTTATTGTCACCCACTAATGATATTCCTAATTGTGGTCGACTGGATTATGCGTCAGACAGTGAGTGGGAAACGAGAAGACAGGGATATCCTGGACCGACGCGAAGAACCTAGAACACTTGGATTTCGCGCGTGGATGATTTATGTTTGATGTGACACAAACAAAATCGAAGACTTACAAGCGAAACCGACCGACAAACTGGTCGAAGAAGCAACCGGCGAAGACAGGACTCCATGTGAACATAGACAAGACGGAGGTGATGAAAATAACCAACCACCACCAACAATAACAACGACAGCAGAAACATCCAGCGTCAATCACCATCAACGTGTGGGAGGGATTGGAACGAGGTTACTTCATTCACTCACTTATCTACGGAGCATTGTCTCAACTATAGGAAGTCAGAACGGACGAGGATATCAAATCGAGCGAGAATTGGGAAGGCGAGAGACACACACATTCATCAACCTGAAACCAATCTAATCTGGAAATCTTCGTCACTCAGCCAGAATCAGCAACAAAATTCGGTAGGATTTCCAATACAAACGTCAAGCCAGTCAGCTCTTCTATACGGATCAGAAACTTGGCGGATGGGTCACAAAGAATATTTCCAAAAGGTTGCAGACCTTTATTAACAACTGTCTTCGCTCTATACTGAAGATCGGATGGCCAGGCCGGAAAGAATCACCAACAAGGAATTATGGGAACAAACAAAGCCAGAACCAATCGCCCAACAAATATGCAGGAGAAAGTGGAGATGGATAGGACACTCGCTGAGGAGACCGCTGGGTGACATCGCGCGTCAAGCCGTCGAGTGAAACCCGAAAGGGGAGCGGCGTGTGGTATGTCCAAGGGTGACATTGAGGAGATCGTATGAAGAGGAGTTGAAAGAGTATGGACTAACATGGATGCTGATGAAAAGTACAGCAGAAGAGAGAAGCAAGTGGAGACGTGCAGTTGAAGCCCTATGTTCCACCAGGAACCCAAGGGAGCAATAATAATGATACTAGAGATAAACAAGTCATAACCGAAAAAAGAATGATCGTTTAGTAAACTATGCCCGCCTTCCGGTTATTATTATTATTATTATCAACACTGAAATTTCCATTACTGTCTTTCAGGTAAAGCAGCACTTGATCGCATGACTAAAGATATGGCCAAAGAGTTGAAACGTGCAAAGGTTAATATTTCTATTGTTGGAGTTGCACCTGGACTAGTACGTACGGAACATATGTTGAATTTTGCGGACAAAGGACATCTAAAACTCGACTTTAATAACAGTATGTTTTAAATTGAGTTGATTTTAATTATTTTGTTTATTATACTTACTGGTCCTGCATGAATAACCATTTCCTTTTAAATGTTGTAGTATTCCGTAAATTTCTCACAGTTAAAGTCGTAAAATATCCCCTTCGGTTTGTTCCCAAACTCATTGACTCATCATGCTTATGTGTGACTTCGTTTTGAACTTTTGAGGCAAAAGTTCACTTCGCATTTATTTTACACTCTGAAAGCTTTTTATCAATTGGCCAGCAGTGTATCGAAGTACCAAGCAGTAAGTCAACTATCATTTACAAGTAGTCTGTCTGTTTTTGACATAGAACTTTGCACATATGTGCACCAGTTCAAGTCGCCACACACTCCCTCCTTGCAGCACACAAAGCAAGAGAAGAAAGTACAAGAAATGCATAATAGAGACAGTAAACAGAGGTGTGAGACAAAGGAGGAGTAATAACGAAGAACAAAATATTTTCATTGGAAATCATAAGTCACAAGGAGTGGATGCATCTGCGCTAGCCATCGTCGAGAACGATTTTGAGCCATGTCACCAATTGTTTCCAACCATTGATTTTTACCGTCCCGAGGACCCCAACCAGTCAGGAAGTCTACACCTTCCTAGGTGGCTTAGACTAACTGTTGTGGATTTGATTGACTGGTGCCATGTTTTTGTTTGACCTCCGCTAGCTTTTTTCCAGTCTGACTCTATATCCGCTAACATTAATCGTCAGTCGAGTAAGGCGATGACTAGGCATACGTAGCACATGTCCTAACCATCTCAGTCGATGTAACTTCACGACTTCGTCGATTGATTTCCCCTGTTTACCTAGAACTCTACGCCTAACCTCAATGTTGCTCACCTTATTATCCCACTTCGCACGGGAGATAGAGCGCAGGCACCTATGATCGAAGACAGTTAGCTAGGCTTTTCATGTCTTCCACTCTCAATGGCCAGGTCTCACAGCCAGCCATAAAGGGAGGACGGAGCGGACTGATGAGCAGTACACCCGCCCTGTGGTCGATAGTCGAACATCTCGTATACGCCAGAGTCGGCGTAAACTGGCAAATGCGAAACGAGCCCCCTGTATTCGTGCTGAGATTTCGTCAGAGATCAACATGTTGGCGTTGGCTGATGGTACTTCCCAAATAAGTGAAGCGGTCAACGTGCTCTACCACTTCACTTCCTATTTTTAAACCAGGCGTCGATGTAGTCCAGTCCTGTAACATCATCTTGCATTTGGCGGGAGCGAATCGCATGCCAAACATTCGTAGATTGCGGCTCAAGGTGTTTAGAAAACTCTGCTGGATTTTGTCAGAGTCGTCGCCTAGGAGGACTATATCGTCTGCATATTCTAAGTCGACGAGATTATTCCCTGGTAGCAAGTTCCCCGAGTCGTTGAAGTGAGTTAGGGTTAAGTCCATTAGTACATCTATGGTGAAGTTAGATAGAAAAGGGGATAATGTGCATCCTTGACGGACACTGACGCACACCTGATATCTATGGTAGCCTGCAAAACTTGGTCTACCGATATCATCACATGCTGAAAATTCCATACTTGTGCCAAAGGTTGTGTGGCTGTGTGGCAATCACGCTATAATCAAAAAAAGAAATTTCTAAGTTTCTCTCTATAATTTAATCACAATTAGTATGGTTGCCTGCAATAGGATGCTCAAAAATATTAAATTTTGTGTGTGATAACACAATATATTAATAACTGGTCATTGTTTAATCATGTGGGTTATACTAGACAGACGTATAGAGACAAGGTTTCAAGTCGATTAATTTTCTGTTCATGTACATGATTTTTTCAAATGCATGTGATGATGATTAGTCCAAAGTATTTTGTTTATTTTTTTATAATTTTGAATTCAAAGTCTATTCAATAAATAAGAAATGATAACTAGGTGTTAACTTTGTAAACAGCCATTTATGATGTTGGCTTTATACTGAGATTGAATGGTATTCAAATTTTCTAAGTGGTTTAATAATAATAATAATAATCTGAAACACGTTCTTTTTGGTATTAGAACACTTTATTAGGTTGTCACAAGCGGATCATGGGTAAGATTTTATTTTGATAAATCACAGTGTTTGTTGTGCAGTAATGTTCAATCAGGCAGGCCTAGTTAAGTTAAGTGTCTAACAAACCGAGCAGCAGCACTAAGTAGTACAAGAAAAGACCTGAATGATGAAATGAAACAAGTAGAAGAAGCGTTGCTATCAAATAGCTAACTACCCTATAAAATTTATTAGGAAGATTGAAAAAGGCCAAAAGCAAGATAAAAATAATTGTGAAACTCGCAATGATAACATAAATAAGAGAGAATATAAGTCATCAACTGTTATACCATATAAGGAGGGAGGGGACATCTGAAACCCTCCCTACGTAGGATTCTTAATAAAGCAGGAATTAGGCTGGTGGCATTTAAACCTACAAGCTCACTCAGATAGGACAAGCTATGTTGGCTAAAGGACACGGTGAACGAAATTAAGCAAAATAATATAATTTACAAAATACCTTTCAATGACTGTTAGGTCAACTGCATAGGTGAAACTAGTAGATCAAGAGTAGTCAAATTATCAGAACATGAGAATCTCGCTAAGGTTAGAATAGAAGATAAGTAATTTAGAAAAAAGCTCAGTGACTGCACTATGCTGGGGGAAATAGACTACTGAATCTTGTCTGGTTCATCGAGTCTACACCCAACACACGCACAATCGAAATGACTCAATGCAAATACCAGAGATATGGAAGATATTATTACCATCAGTCAGTTAGTGAAATCAGAGGAGGATAATAAGTAATCTTAAAATTCTATTTCACCTCACATACATTATAACATTCTAAAAAGTTACTTATTTTTACTGTAAAAACATCTTATTTCCTATCTGATTGTATTTGATTGACAACACTAATATTATTTCTAAATGTATATCATTCTATATTGAACAATAGTTTGTGCTGGAAACGTGGTTATCAGTAAATATTACTGTACAACACTGTGATTTATCAAAATAAATTCTTTCTTTCTTTTGATTACAGCTTGATTCCACAGCGTATGTTTTGGTACAGGTATGGAATTTTCAGCATGTGATATTGGTAGCCCAAATTTCGCAGGCCGACCATAGATATGAGGTGTTCGTCGGGAGGGGATTGAACGTCGGACCATGTGCATGGTCGGCGAGAGTCCTAACCACTTCTAATCACTACTTAGTACTACTTACCACTTCACCTGCACTTCGGACATAAGTATAAAACATGGGCACTGTGGTAGAGTATAACTCCACTATATAACTATATATATATATATATATATAGTTCTTTAATTGCAGGCACTAAGAGTAGTGGGGGAAGAGAATTTTCGTAAAATTAGGAAAAGGAATGTTGTGTAAGAGCTTCCTTTCGAACATTTGCTTGTCCTTATGTCTTACTGACTAAGGACTCCCAAAGCATAGATAGCCTACTCCGAAAATTCTCAATAAATGTTAGCAGCTGTCAGTCTTGTCTAAAAATTTTCAAAGCATGTCTTTAATGCGTACAGTGTTTATGCTATTCCAGTTTACCGATCGATCCTGTGTTAATTTTAAAACTGCCGCACTATGATTAATGTCACATAAAGCTTTAAACGATTCCTTTCAAAAATATTCTATTGACAGCCTTACATATTCACACGTCTTTTGTCTTGCTACGCTTAAGATCTTCTTCAACTCAATGTCACGTGGACTAACTTTGTATGATGGAATAGACAGTAGTTAGGCATGCGTAGCATACGCTTTACCTATTCAGAATTATTCATGTCTACCAATTCATCAACTTACTTCTTACCGGAATCCTATATTACTCAACATTATGTGACTCCATACTCTAGTGATGTTAGTCAGTCAGAATGATGCTAGAGATAACTGTGCCTGGAATGTTTCACTCTCAATTGCCTAAAAGTGATCAATCCATGCTGCTAGGTGGGTGGCTAATGTGTGGTCACTTAATTCAGTTCCGGGATGTTAAGGAGATCCAAAATTATCCTTTAATGGTCATTTAACTTGCTGGGAATCATCAATTTTCATCAAAAAAGACCATTTGACCGGTGTTCACTAAAGAAACTTTTGTACAAATGAGACTATGCTCCACATAAGCATGTATATAAAAAAGTTCAGTGAAGACACAGTGCATCTTTCTATTCGACCATTTGATAACTGAACATTAAGCTTACATACGGTTACGGTAGTGTAATTGTCAAGAAAGCCACTTTGTGGGCGAGATCTCAATTAGTTAAAGCGATAAATTTTCACCCACCAAGGGAATTACTTTCCTCTGTTGTTCCGGTTTAGTCGACTTTCACAATTAAGGCAAAGGCTGAGTGAGAATAATGTACCACTGTACTTATTGAACCACATTATAGATAGTTAACAACGGAATATAGTATTTGAAAATCAGTTGAATTATCATTCTTTAGTGTCCTGTAGATATATTTAGTCCATCTTTCCACCTTCTTCGGGATGGTATCATCTTTTATTCCTGTTTCTGTATTACATATCACCAATTTATCTGTTGAAATCTATACTCTTGTTATCTTCACCATCCCACCAGTTTTATTTGTACTAGAATTTCACCCATTGGATCACAGGTTTCTGTCTGTCTGTCTGGATTCAACATAGAACTTGGCACCGAAGTGCAGCACTTCGAGTTGCCACCTTCCAAATAGCACACAGAGGTAGACAAGAAGATGAGTGAAGAGAATCAATACAGTTTGACAAGTATAAGAGTGAAACAGAATGGGTAATGGTAGAAAGGAATATGAAAGATTACAGAGACTGAATACATCTGCGCTGGCCATTGACAACGATTTTGAACCATGTCACCTATTGTCTCCAGCCATTGATTCCTAGAGTCCCGAGGGCCCCAACCCGGGAGTCCGCATCTCCCTACCTGACTCAGTTTAACTGCCAAGGATTTCATGGATTGATGCCATGTTTTTGTTTGGCCACCACTGGCTCTTTTCCAATCTGAACCTATATCAGCTAGCAATGCCCGTCGGGGGAGGCGGTGGTTAGGCATGCACAGCACGTGACCTAGCCATCTTAGTCTATGTAACTTTATAGCCTCGTCGATTGAGTCTCCCTCTTTGCCCAACACTCTACGCCTAACGTCAACATTACTTATCTTGTGAAACCACCTAACGTGAGACAGAGATCGCAGACATCTATGATCGAAAGCAGTCAACCTTTTCATGTCTTCAACTCGTATTGGCCATGTTTCAGAGCCATAGAGAAGGACGGAGCGAACTGATGAGCAGTACACACGTCCCTTGGTTGATAACCGGATGTCACGCCTACGCCAGAGATGGTGTAAGTTAGCGAAAGCAGCTTGAGCTTTTCGGATTCGTGCTGAGATTTCATCGCCAATCAGTCGGTTGGTGCTAATACAACTTCCCAAATAGGTGAAGTGGTCAACATGTTCTATCACTTCACTCCCTATCGCTAAGTTAGGGGTTGACATAGTCCAGTCCTGTAGCAGCATCTTACATTTTGTAGGGGCGAATCGCATGCCAAACATACGAAGATTGCTGCTCAAGGTGTTCAGAAGACTCTGCATTTTGTCAGCATCCTCCCCTAACAGGACTATGTCATCTGCATATTCCAAGCCCATAAGACTATTCCCTGGTAACAAGTCGATTCCTAAGACTCCTAAGTTCAGTTAAGGATACTTCCATCAGCATATCTATGATGAAGTTAAACAGAAATGGGGAAAGTGGACATCCCTGTCGGACACCACAGGTTTAGACTTCACTCTTCAAGACAGGTAGGCTTAGCTAACGGCTTGGCCATCAAGTATCAAATGGAGCCAGCAAGAATACCTGTAATTATTTGGTGAATTGCAATTATCGTTTTTTACGTTTTCCTTGCTACGAATATTGTGTAGCTTTCTTCTGAGAAACCTGAAACGATTATTAGAAGTTGAATTTTCGATCACAATAAACCAAACACTTAAACTGTGTGTAAAATCCAGAAGTCAGGGTTCGTCTAAAGTGTAGGATACTGTTGTATGCGTTGGTGGCACAGTGGTAGAATGTTCACCGACCACGCATGTTGTCCGGGATTCGATCCCCGGTTAGGGTTAGCACTCTTTTACCTTGCTATGCCAGTAGTGCGACCGGTAACGAGGGGCGAGTTTGGGCTTGATGAGATTAGCAACCCCATTCCGTTAAAAATAAAAATCACTGCTACCGGAAATTCAAGCCTCTAACTTGAAGCCCTGTGTTCCAACACTTGGAGCGTAAAGGAATAAAAGAAAACAAAGTAACCAAACATCAGTGTGGTTGCTACCTGATAACTTACTTGTACGTTTGTTTATTTATTATTTTTTTAAAGCCGTATGCCTTATTTCAACACGGATTTGAAGATGATCAAACGTAGCACAAACATGCATGATTGTGGATATAAATCCTATTATCATGATCTCCGTTAATAAAAAATCATTATCTTATTATTATTATCATTATTATCTGGAAGATATGCAAGTGAAAAGCGACAAGCTGGCAGAACAAGCATCAAAGATAGGACTTCAAGTGAACATAGATAAAACAGAGGTGATGAATATTCTTGGCCAACACCAACAGAAACAACAACAACAGACGACAATCAGCCAGCATAAATGGGAGGAACCTAAAAAAAACAACCTCCTTCACCTACCCACCTACCTACATGGAAGCATCGTTTCAACTACAGGCCAGTGGGACTGACGAGGATATCAAAGCTAGAATCGGAAAAGCAAGACAAGCTCTCATTACCCTAAAGTCTGTGTGGAGGTCAACATCACTCAGAATCAAAAATAAGATCCGGATTTTCAACTCGAATGTGAAGCCAGTCAGTGCTACTCAACATACGGATCAGAGACTTGCACTGCTCACCATAAAGAGCATCTCAACCAAACTTCAGACCTTCATTAACAGTTGTCTTCGCTCAATACCACTCAAGATCAGATGGCCGACCAGAAAATATCAGCAACGGGGTGGGATCTCTGGCAATCAACGAACCAACCAAGACGGCAGGAACCGATTGTGAAACAAATAGACAGGAAGAAATGGAGATGGATTGGCTGACCATACACTGAGGTAACCGTGAAGTGAGTGACATCAATAGACAAGCCATTTCTCGAGTGGAACCTGAAAGGGAAGCGGGTGGGTGGCGAGTTGGTCGTGAGTGCATGGGTGAGGGTGACTTGGAGGAGGTCATGTGAAGAGGAGATGAAAGCATGTGGTCAGACTCGGAGCGGAATGAAAAAGTTGTCAGAAAACAGAAGGCAATGGAGACTTGGGCAGCTGAAGCCCTATGTTCCTCTAGGAGTTAAAGGATATAATAATAAATAATAATAATCTTAATTAGTTTCAGTCAAAAAGCAAATACATTGTTTATTTTAACGTTTTTCTAGGTGAATCACCTGAATTAACCGGTCGTGTGATATCGCAGCTGGCTTCAGAACCGTCGAAAAAACTACTTTCTCGGTCAGGTCAAATAATGAACGTTTGTGATTTGGCGGAACAGTTCGGCATAAAGGAGGATGATGGTCGTGCAATCACCAATATACGGTCGATTAAATTTATTCTTTCACATTTTGGCTTTTCTATAGCTAAATTTATTCCGAATTTTGTTAAAGTTCCAGAATGGTTATTCGACATTATACTGAAGTACCAATAAGAAAAGTTATACTACCCCTTTTCTCTTTATATTTTGAAATTTTTTTTAAAATTTTTTTTATCCTGAAACCAGACTTAGTGATTTCTTCATCATATAATCATTCCAGTGAAATTATCAACTCGATTAAGAATTTTTTTTATTTGAATATGTGACTATCCTGCTTTTTGATTTTTCTGGAAAACTAATTAAATTCAGTTTAAAATTTTTAGTCGACTTCATATTTAAGTTTTACCTTATTTGAAATAAGTGTAGATTAGCAGCTATTTTCTCGGCTTGCTGTTTTTGTAGGCAGATTATTCAAATTATTTCATTAATTTAAGCCCTTCAAAATGCATACGTGAATTATATATTCACTAGTGGAAATGAAAGGAGATATTAAAAGATTGTATATATCACACTTAAGGTAATCGGTCACTACTAGAGCTGACTGCTGCGGTCGCTGTTTTACATCTTTTCATAAAACGACAATGATCAAAGTTTTCCAGATTTTCAAAAGTCACTTTAATGATGAATAAGTTAGGTGCCAGTGCCGTATAACGAACAAGTTATTCAGTCTTAGTTCTTGTGAACTTTTAAAAGAAAAAGCTTGGATGAGAATCATTTTTTTATTTTCTATGGGTTATTTTAGTGTAGAGTCATCGAAAGATTGACAGATCTAAGTGAATGCGTCCGTCTTGTCATGGGAGCAATTCATGATATTGTGAAAGGTGTGGCGAAGACTTAAGGGAAGTGTGAGACGATAGTTTATGTTACTGGTCGAACGTTAAAGACTCCCAATAACGGCGTTTGGAGTGGGGGTTAATTTGTGTAGAACTGCGGATGATATCAATAAATATGATGGTGTGTGTGTGTGTTTATTAATATCGCTTATATTTATTTCACTCTTACGTTGATTGATATGGAACTTGGTATAACAGTGCAACAAGATACAACAATGCACACAGATAAAGAAAGAAAAATCCAACAAATTATAACGAGTCGAAGTGTTCAGGAGACAGAGTTAGCACACACCGTATGATAAGAATTTAATGGAGGGAGGTAGAGTGAATACACCTGAAAAATAGAGCGATTCTGAGTCATGTCTCAAACATGCTAAAGCCATTGACTGTTATCATATTGAAGACCAAACCCAGACAGTCTACACCCTCCCTACATGGTGTTCAAAGTAACCGTCAGAGACTTCATGGATTGATACCATAATTCTAAATAACCGCTCTTAATTCCTTCTTGACTAAACGTATGTCAGCAAACATTGATCGACTACGAAAGTGATGGAGAGCTCGTCATACGTTAGAGGTGTCCTAACTATCTCAATATATGTAGTTTCGCAGCCTTATACATTGCCCCACCTGACACTATGCCTAACCTGGATATCACTCACTATATTATACCACTTAAGATACGATGTAGAACTCAGACACCTATGGTCAAAGACATCTAACCAGCCTCTTTATATCTCACACTCTCAATGGCCATGTCTCCTAGTCACAAAAAAGGAGAGGGCGAAATGCTGCTATGTGCACACGTTTTTTTCAACAGCCGAAGGTGATGTAGGTTGGCGACAGCCATAGGAGCCTTTTCTTTGAGTGGTGAGATTTCTTCAGCAATCAGTCAGTCAATGCGTGAGGATTGATGCAACTTCCCAAATTAGTGAAGTGGTCACACACACACTAGGCCTAAATTCAGACCAATCTTGCAATATAATCTTACATTTGACAGGGTTCAATCTCACGCCAAAGATACTAATATTTCCGGTTAAGGTGTTCAGAAAACTGAGTCTTTCCACCTAGGACTGTATCATCTGCATACTCAAAGTCGACTAGACGGTAACAAGCCAATCCCTCCCTAGGTCTCTAAAGTTGACTCTCTGGTACATCTATGGTGAATTAGACAAAAATAGAGACACTGGGCACTTCTAACGGATAGCTTTGGTTGTCATCACCTTATAAGCTTAGGCGCCGTTTTCCCGTGAAATCATTTGTCTTTTACAACCAGTTTCCCTAATATAATTGTCTGGTGTTGTCTTCTACTGATGAGTTTCACATTCATTCGAATTTTGTAGCCAGCTACTGTTTACTATTGCTGACGATAGTTTTGGTCAGCTTGCGTTTTAGCAGCTTTCTCTTTTGTTATGTTCGCAGTGTGCTGTAATTAGTCCTCTCGCATTTATCACTTAGGATGAGCTGGTAGAAATTCACTTATATTTAATAACTATCGGTTTTAGATTAACAGTAAACCTTCTGTAGCTGACTGGGTATTATGCTAGGCTTCATCAGAATGATTCTTGATATTTCTTCCCTAAATAGAGAGTGTGTTGTCATCACTCTAGGGACACAACGGCTTCACAGGTGTCTGGTTTCTATGTCCGTTCTTTCGTAGGGATACGTGTACACAGACTAAAGAGTGATTTCAATCTATACAGGTGTTATAGAAGCAGCGACACTCTTCCACCGACTCTCTACATATATTTTACAGCTATGTGGTTTATTTGTGTCCATCGTTGATTTAGCGTCGTGGTTTGCCAGGTGAGGTAATGTTTCTTTTTATGTCTTAAGATAGTGCTTGTCAGCAACAGGACTGTAGAAGATGGCCAGCGTTGTAGGTTCATCGGCATGAAGATCCATAGCTACCGCTAATGTACTTTCCTATCTGACACAACTTCCCTATTTTGAGCATTGGATTCACTTACGAAAATGACTATACCTGAGCGTTTTGCCTCCAGCAACAATAAACTAGACAGCTATTGATAGGTCTTGACCTTTAATTCAATCGGTCGATGTTGGAGTAGGTGGAGTTAATGATGAGGAGACTTCGACGGTTGTCAAAATATATTATTATCACAGATTTGGATAGCACACATTCACCTATGCGTAAGGATACAATCAAGTAGCAGTTTTTTTTGCTCTGTTTTTCAACGCTATTCCTAAAGAAGGAATTCCTGACAAACTAGTCGAATATGTTGACACCTCCAAGGTGAACTTTGCAGACTGATCATGTTAGCTAGGTGGAATTTGGCGAATAACCATACTTGAGTCTTATAAGTCCGTATCTGAAGCATAACATAAATTCGTAACTGGAGATGCCAAAGCTTTAGCTAAGTGAGGCCCTTTGTCCTATTTGACAAAGTGTCCTAACTATGAATGCTCCAATATGTAGATAAGTGCGTCGTTTTAATAGACTGTCCTAAGTGTTTTTCCAACTTTTGTAGCTACTAATGATCTCAGAGTTAAGAAGAGGTGACGGTTCTTCCTATAGAAAGGTTTCAGTAGAGAGACAGGAAAGCAAAAAGATGAAGTTGAGGGGATATGAGGAGGAAAGCCTTTTGGGAGTGTACTGACAGTTGTTTCTTCCCAGTTGTTCGAAAAGTGGAAGTTGACTTCTTGAATCCACTGAAACAGAAAGAGCTTTAGTACTGTGTAACCAAAGAGCCTGAGGAAATTGCTTGAAGCTGATCTCACGATGTTTGTTGAAAGTGTTGTGTCCGTATGAAGATCTTACCACCGCAAGTTAATTCCGAATAATTTTGAAGCTGACCTATAACCTCCCCGCTCCTGACCTTTCTAACATGAAACGCTTGTTACTGCTAGGGTATACCTTTTGAACATCGCGATATGCTAGTCCTATGACCACGCCAGGGTAGCGGCAATTGAACAGGTTACTCTTACCTGACTTTCGAAGGAGGCTGACTTAATTATATGGCGTCGATATAGCAGACATCTAATAAACGATAGTTACTTGATTTCCTATGATCCCAGAAAATCCTAGGGAGTTGTGATTATGAGAAATACAACTACAAATAGCTTAAGACGTGGTAAAAGTTCGGAAAAAGGGCCATATGGTTCTTTCAGTTGCTACATAAGTTGTAATCATCTCTGGGGATTTCGGGGCTTGAATATTTTGTTCGTAGTCATTTAAAATAAAGCTAACGACTTCATATTACGACTGAATAATGTTCATTACCAACCGCCGGGCCAGAAAATAGCTATTTCTAGGCAAAGCTGTCTCAGTTCCAGCGGTGAATTGGTTCGTGCAGGTGAGACACGCACCTAGTCTCCATGTGTACTTATAAATTCGAAGCTAATTTGACATTGAGGTGAAATAGTTTCAACGGATTCTATGCTTAGTCCTCATAAATCTGCAGATTATACAAGCATTTTTGTGTGAGCAAGGAGAAATATTATTGAAACGAATGGGAGTTTGGTAGTATCCCTTAACTTCTATTAATTACTACAATGAAATGATAAGAATAGCTGACTACTGGAAACACAAAGTCATGTAGACGTTCTGTAATAGAGAAGTGAAACTGTAATCACAGCACTAGATTACAGTTGAAGTAAAATAAAGTTGTATTTTACTTACTTACCGTCGAGTTGCGTAGTGAATGGATGCATTCATTCCCCAGACTTCACTGTCTAGCCTAGATGTACTATCCAGGTACTTATGAAGGGGTGAGTTCAATTCTCAGTTGTATTTTGTGTTCCACTGAATAGCTGTAAAATATGTCTGATAAAAAATTGGAGAATATAGAAAGGTTGGAAATTGTACATCATCGGTGCTTTCAATAAGACTTAGGATGGAATGATGTAGTGACTATTATTCTGGTGTGCTAAATGGGTAAGGGGAGTTATGAATCTCGATAAGCTGAGGTTGCTAAAGCCTATGGTAAATCTGGTGAACCCCTTATTTCTAGAAGATCAGTGTTGATTTGATTCGTTGTAACACTTGGTGTTAAGTGATTTATGCTGGTTAAATGCTGGAAGTATGACTGGATCATGCAAAAGACTGTGGAGAGCGAGAAGACAAGAAGATCTGGAGCTGGCCGATGATTTATATCGGAGACTTATAGGCGAAAACCAAACAACCGTCAGAAAAGACAGGATATCTATCATTCTGGTCAACATAAAGAAGAACGAGTTGGTAAAGACAGCTAGTCAATAACAACAATAATAAATACCAATCACTATGGATGGAAAGAATATGAAAGTGGTTACTTCCTTCACATATTTAGCCAGGCAGCATCGTTTCAACTACAGGTGACAACACAGATAAGGATGTCAAAACCAGAATGGGAAAGACAAGACAGATATTCACCACTGTTAAATCAATTCGGAAATCTTCTGCACTAAGCATAAATAACAAAATTAGGATTTTCTACACCAATGTCCAGTCACTTGTTCTGTATGGCTTAGAGACTTGGCGGGCCACGGAATGCATTTCCAAAAAGCTTCAAACTTTCATCAGCAACTGGCTTCGCTCTATACTGAAGATCAGGTGGCAGCCAGAA